AAGGTATCCAGGTCCCACTGGACCTCAGGGAAGCCACCCTACTGTACCCAAAAGGAAAGAGACAGGATGGTGGCTAAAATTTGTAAAGTGATATTTCTAAATGTGTGTGTACCTGAGTCTGAGTCAGTGTGTGTATCTGGCTGTGTGTGTGTATAAGGCTGTGTATGTGTGTGTGTGTGTGTGTTTCCAGCTGTGTGTGTATCTGGCTGTGTGCATAGCTGACTCTGTGTGTGTGTGTATCTGGCTGTGTGTGTGTATCTGGCTGTGTTTGTTTCAGTGTGTGCATCTGACTGTGTGTGTGTGTATCTAGCTGCGTGTGTGTATCTAGCCACGTGTGTGTATCTGGCTGTGTACCTGGGTGTGTGTCACTGTGTGTATCTATCTGTACCTGTGTGTCTGTGTATGTGTATCTGTGTGTCAGTTTGTATGTATATTTGTGTGAATTTATACCTGTGTATGTATACTTGTGTGTCAGTGTGTATGTGTACCTGCTTGTCTGTATATGTGTACCTGTGCGTGTTTCTGAGTGTGTGTGTGTGTGTGTCTCTGTGTGTATATGTGTCAGTGTGTGTAAGTGTATATTTATGTGTATGGCAATACGTACATCCCAGCATTAGAATGCCAACACTGCACACAAATACACTACAACATTTCAATGCTAACACTGCACACAAATACACCACTGCATATGTACCTGTGTGTCTGTGTACCTGTGTGTAGCTCAGTGTTTGTGTAAGTGTGCATCTGTGTGTATGTGGCAATGCATACATTCCAGCATTCCAACACCAACACTGCACAAAAATACACCCCTGCATGTGTGTCTGTGTGTATCTGAGTGCTTGTACATGTCTGTGCATGTAAGTGTGCATCTTTGTGTGTGGATGTGCCAGCGTGTGAATCTGTGTGTGTGTATGTGCATCAGTGTCTGTATCAAAGTGTATGTAATGTACATCTCCTCCAATTAGCTCCTGGCTGGTCGGGATGTGGAGAAAAACAGAGGTGACCAGGTAACGGGGCTAGCCTCAGCCAGACTGGAGTTCTAGAGAATTGTGAGTAAATCTTGCTGTAGTCCTCGTGACTCTCTTGACTACTTAGGTGGACCTAGGGAGAGGCGATTTCGGTTGTTTGCAGTATGTAATGCTATTTGAGAGTCTTTTTTTTTAAACATTCTTTATTTGTTGTTTTCTGGTGTGGAAAAAGTAAACATTAGGGTACAGAATTGAAGGAGGGTAGGGGTGGTACAGCCAAAATGGTACAGGTGCACAGTAATTTCCACACATGTGTCTTTGCGTCTTAAGGTGTTGTGAACAAGTAACTGTGTCGTGGTGTGGTCTGTTGGTTAGGCGTTTAACGTGCAGTAGTGTGGGGTTCAGGGAACTCTGTCTTGGTCTTTTTCCCTTTGCACGGTTCGTTTGGTCAAACCTGTGTTGGTGGCCGTTTGAGGTTTGCGATTTGTCTCGTTAACGGTTTTGTGGTAGGGTGGGTTGCCCTCTTTTTGACTGTTTTTATTGTCCTCGTTGCGTACTGATGGGCGCCCATGTGTCTGGGTGGTCGGTAGGGGGGGGTTGAGGACCTATGTACAAGGGTGGGGGTACCATGGTGGGATTCAGTTTCGGGTGACTGGTAGTCATCCAGTAGTTCGGGTTGGGGTAGTATTTTGTACTTTTAGTATCAGTGCATTGGTATTTTGATTGCTATGTTAGAATAGCGGGCCTGATTGGTGAGATGGAGGCTGTCCGTGTGCCCTTATTGTAGGTGGGGTTCAGATAGCCAGGGGTCCCAGATTCTGTGGAAGTGCTTGGAGGTCTCATGAATTATGGCTGATATCCTATCCATGTGTATTGCTTCCCTGGTTTTGCGTATGATTGTTTGCAGTGTGGGGGTGTTTGACGTTCCCCATACTTCGGCTATTGCCCGTCTAGTTGCTAAGGCTATCCTGTTTGTAATTTTGTTTTGGGCTCTGGTCAGGTCCTCTCGTGGTCTGGAGAGGAGCCAAGTCCAGGGGTCTAATGGTATGGTGGTCTGGAGGAGTGTTGAGACTAGGGTAGCCACTTCCGCCCACAGTGGGGCCAATTTGGGCAATGCCACCATGTGTGTATGTATGTGCCCCTCTGCCCACAGTTTTTCCAGCATAGGTCCGCGTCTGCCTTGCCCATATGGTACAAACGTACTGGGGTTAGGTACCATCGGAGCAGTGTTTTGTACGCTTGCTCCTTATGGTTAACGCATATGGATATGGAGGCCGTTGCCTCCCAGATATCCCGCAAGTCGGTGGGATCTCCCGGGGGCCCCAAGTCCCTCTCCCAAGCCGCCACATATGCCAATGCCCCCTTGGGTTGGTTGGTGATAAGGAGTGTGTCATTTTCCGTAATTTGATCTTTGTGAAGTGGGTTATGTAGGCATGTCCTCTCAAACCGTGTGAGTGTGGTGGTGGCAGCTTTGGCGTTGTCAGGTTGCTCTAGGAAGCTTCGCAGTTGTATGTAGCGAAAGAAATCGTGGGTGGTATATGTTGCCTGCGTGTTAGGAAGGTCATTGTATGGGGTTATTTGAGTTCCCGTGTAGAAGTGGTGCAGTCTGGACAGGTCGTTTTGTTAGTAGTGTGCAAAGTCTTTGGGTGTTAACCCTGGGGGGAATGCTCTGTTGCGTAGTATTGGCGTCAGTGGTGTCGGGTTGTTTATGATGGGGAATTTCCTGGTAGTTTTGTCCCACATGTCTATTGAGTTGGTGATTGATGGGGGCAGTGGTGGTGGTAGGGGGCGTGATTTCTTTGGTACCCATATGTAGAGGGATGGAAGGTCGCGTCCAAATAGGTCATGTTCCAAGTCCGCCCATCGTTTGATCCCCTGTGGGGTGTGCCAGTGTTGGATCTGTGTGAGCTGTGCGGCGTAGTAGTAGTTTTGGAAATGGGGTAGTCCCAGTCCTCCCGTCCTATTGGGGATGTACATGGTGCTCCTTTTAATTCTGGGTCTTTTGTTTGCCCAGATAAAGTTATCAATTAGTTTTTGGACATATTTTGCATCTGTTGTGGGGAGTGGGATGGGGAGGGTTTGGAATAAGTAGAGGAAGCGGGGTAGGAGGTTCATCTTTACTGATGCAATGCAGCCTAGCCATGATAGTGATAGGTCTTGACATCTTTTGAGATCGTCCGTTGCTTTCTGTATCATTGGGGTGTAGTTCAGGGCGTATGTGCGGTGTAGTGCTGCTGGTAGCTGTATACCTAGGTATGGGATGTGGGATGTGTTGTAGCGAAACCTATATATTTCTAGTAGTGTCTCCTTCGTGTCTTGGTCGATATTTATGCTAAGTGCCTCTGTCTTGTCCAGGTTTAGTTTATATCCTGAGGCTGCTGAGTATTCGTTCACCAATTGTAGGAGTGGTGGGAGGGAGGTGAGGGGTTCAGTTAGCGTTAGGAGCAGGTCATCGGCATACGCAGCCACCATGTAGGTTTGGGAGCGTACTGTAATGCCCGTGATAGTGGCGGTGGTGCGTATGAGGTGTAGTAGTGGTTCCAATGAGAGGGAAAAAAGGATCGGGACAGTGGACAGGGAAGTGGGGGGGTTGCGCGTTTGGGATGAGTAATTTTGCTTTTGGGATAGAGTAGATCGTTTTGAGGGCTGTCGTGAATGGTGTTGGGAATTGGAGTTTCTCTAAGGTGGCGAAGAGGAAGGGCCATAGTAGTCTGTCAAATGCCTTCTCGGCGTCAAGGGATAGTAGGAGGGTGGGGATGTTACGGTGATTGGCTACCCATATGAGGTCTAAGGTCCGTCTGGTGTTGTCGCTCGCTTGTCTCGTTGGGACGAATCTGACTTGGTCGGGGTGGATTGTCGATGGGATGTAGGGGAGCAGTCTGTTGGCGAGGATTTTGGTGAAGATTTTAATGTCTACGTTTAGTAGGGAGATGGGTCTGTAGTGACCTGGTTCCGTGTGCGGTTTGCCGGGCTTGGGTAGTAGGCAAATGTTTGCCTTCAGCATGTCCTCGGGCATCTGATCTCCAGTCATGAGCGAATTATATAGCTTTGTCATGTAGGGTAGCAGGTTGTCTGTGAATGTTTTGTAGTAGATGCCCGAGTGTCCGTCCGGGCCTGGGCTTTTGTTGGGTTTCGTGGTGCCTATTACTCTCCTCACCTCCTCCTCTGTGATTTCTGTCGAGAGGTATGTTTGGGCTTCCGTCGTGAGTGTCGGTAAGTGGGCCTTTGCTAGGAGGGTTTGTATATTGTCGTGTAGGGGCCGTCATCTTGGCGGTGTTGAGGGGAGTGGTCGTATAGGTCAGTGAAATACTTCTGGAAGGTCTCGGCTATTTTACTGGGGATGTCGGTTGGTTGGCCTGTGGGGGTATGGATGGTGGTAATTTGCTTGGCTTGCTGGCATTTGCATAGCCTTCGGGCCAGTAGTGTGTCTGCTTTGTTTGATTTTTCATAGAACATTTGTTTTGTCCATTGTAAAGCTTTAGTTGCGTCTTTCGCCATGGCCTGTTTAAGGGCCTGGCGCTGGTGGTGCAGTTGCGTTGTGAGGTCTTGTGTGGGGGTTAGTTTGTGTTGTGCTTCGAGTTGTCTGATCTGGTCCATTAGGGATGTTATGTGGGCTATGTGTTTCTTTTTCTGCGCCGTGGCTATGCTGATCAGGGATCCTCTGAGCACTGTTTTGTGGGCTGCACAAAGCAACGCGTGTGATTGCACCGAGTCTTTGTTGGTGTCGAAGTATTGGGTGAGTTCTGTCTTCAGTTGGGAAACTATTTGGGGGTCGTGGAGTAGTATGGGGTTGAGCCTCCAGGTCCAAGGTCTTGAGATTTGTGGTGGTTGGAGTTGTAGTGTGATGTCTGCGTGGTCTGACCAAGTGATGTTGCCTATTGCGGAGTTTGTGACGTGGGGGATTAGGGATGGTGAGATGAGAAAGAGGTCAATGATGTCCATATGTCTATGGTTTGGGTTATGAAGTCGGCCAACATTTTGCTATTTGAGAGTCTTATGCCTTACATGTTTGTATTTGCAACAAAACATCAAAAGCTGTCCAATTTATTCCAGGTCAGTCGATACGGGTTTTTCCTATAAGCTTGATATATGCTTATCCGTATTTTACGTTAAATTGCAGTTAACACCTTTCATTGTCACTAAATGAGATGGCATATCAGTCATGCTATGTGTTTTCTATATGTTACCTGCTGGTATTTATTTTGGTTTGCCTTGGTTTGTTTGAGTTATTGGTAGATACACAGCACACAATGGCCCAGTTTATCTATGTAAAAAAAGCACCATTTATGGCAAACCTTAACATTTGAAGAATAAAAAAAAAATATATGCATAAACATATTGTGGGTTATTCACTAAACTCTTAATTGTAGAAAATATAATTCAAATTACAAACACTAGGCTTATAGCAATATTAAACATAATATCAAACTATATTTAAAAAAAAAATTCTTTAGTTTTGCTGCGCATGAAAAAGACATTAGAGCTTATTAAACTACAACAGCAGTAGCAAGCATTTAAACCATCAACATATTAAAACAGTGGTATGGCAAGATGCTACAGCACAGTTTTATATTGTTAAGATAAAATATTTTTTAGCAATGAACTTGCAGAGAGGGTAAGTAGCTATTGCTAGGTCGCCCTGTCTATTGAGAGCCTGTCGGGCCAACTGGGTGAAGCTGCATCCAGATCAAGTGAGTACTCGAGAGATGCTCTCTCTCTGCTCCTGTACTTTCCACCTCGTTTGTATCTACGAGTTTACAATGGGTGAACCCTGGTGAAGGCTGAGTGTCAATCTAATTAATGAATTTTCTCTGAGGGCTATGAAGCTTGGTTATGTGGGGAGACTTCGAAACAGAGGCAAGTGGGGGGAAAGAGAGTCTTTATTGACTCATCTGAACAAGTGGTGAATATCAAACTATATTTATATTTCCATTAGGCCGTGTGTCTCCTAATCTAAGATTGTCATGTAAACTAAAATGCTACTCATTTCACTTGAGTACAAGCTACGTGACTGATGTAGAAAAGACCTAATTGCTATTTTTATTTAATTTTTTTTAAAATAATTTTTCTTAAATGCTACTCATTGCACTAGAGTTCAAGCTACGTAATTGATGTAAATGAAACACCTAATTTTTATTCTTATTTAATTTTACTTATTTTCATTGAGTAAAAAGGCAAAAATTGGCACTTTTCAAGAAACTAAAATTCCTGTATCTTCCTTAGTGAATTGAGCAGAATTTTGCGTGATACTTTTTAAAAAAAAAAACATTTCACGTAATGCAAAAATTCCCAGCAAAACTGAAATGGCATTTTGCCCATCCCATAGCTGTCTTAGGATATAATTTTTATGTTGGTGAACATTCTGCAAGTGACAACTTTTATAAGCTCATTTAAAAAAAATCTTTTTACTGATTGATTTCAGATATATTTTGAAATATTACTGAATGAAATAGAGTTAAAATGTATTGATCAAAATGGAATCCTGAGTCAATTAGATTTTTTTGTTAAATTCATTTATTGGTTTTCTTTTTCATATATTTGACATAGTGCACAACGAAAAACATTCCAGAATGTGTATCCCAAAAATCGGATGCATCTCTGTTTCCAAAGTCTTATTTTATATGTCCTATAATAAAAGAAAACAGCTGTTATGCCTATTGAGATAACCCGGTATTTAATGGTAATCATGAATACGATTAATTGTTTCCCATCAATAATTTATTTAGTGCTTTTTTTTTGGAAACTATGCAAGTGCTCTAGCAAAATAATGGTTTGTATTCAATCATTCAATGATTAAACCTGTGATCTTGTGCATAGGGGGGTTTAAGTTGGTGATGGAGTAATACTATAAATGAAAGCATGTTTGTGCTATTCGTGTGTAAATAAGCTTACTGATCTGAAAGTGCCTTTGCTTTGTTTTATTATACAAAAATACAAAGATGTGCCTTTTTGTTGTTTATAGCATTATGCAATTATTTTTCAAAAAGTGATTGTATGCTCTTTAATTATTACTGTTTGTTTGTTTGTATGTTTGTATGTTTGTTTTTATCAAAATGGTTCAACCTCAAAGATCTTATTTATATCAAGCAAGCGTTACTTTACCTAATTTTCTCCTGAATGCCATTCTAATGCACTGACAAGATGTTGCTCAAGTCTCAATAAAAAAAAACTAATGTATTTTTTCAATAACATACACCAGGAGTTATATGTTATCCTCATTGCTGCATTTTCAGGACATGAGCGCAACACGTTTCAGCTGCTGTCTGATTGGCAGAGAACAACATTAGGTATCTTCATCCTGTCTATCCTATCCATTTATTACCTGATTTCTCAAAAAGGCAAAGTTTCTAGCAGTACAAAAATAGACAAATCCTAGAACTTTTATACACTATTTGAATATCTCACTTCTTTTATTGAATCTCGAATAACAAAAAGAGATTTATCTTCTTAATATAGTTTTTTTTTCTTATACATGTGTACTGATGTGAAGACATAGATGTGGATTATAGAAATATAATGTCCATCCATACATCTTTACCTGTAAGTACCCAGAAAAAGCACTTGAAATGTATTGTGTACAGTAATTTGAATTACCTCTGTGTCATATCTGTTTGCTTTTTTGTTAATTGTTGACTGTTCTTGAAACTAAATGTCTTGTGCACAGCGCTTTATATATTTTTTATTTGTAAACAAGGCACAGGTAGAGGATAAACTGAATATGGATCTACATATTAGAATTAAGAAATGTATATTTTTAGTCTAGTCAAAGTCTCCTCGGCCATTGACCTTCTTTGCTCCTCCATGTATCTGCTGTCCATCTTGTCCATATCGGTTTAGAGGAATAAGCTTCATTGATACTTTCTTCAACGAATACCATCGGCTACGCCAGGTGGCCCAAATAATTCCATTATCATAACCATCAGGACCAGCATCAGCTGCAGTGTAATCTCCACCTGCCATGAAAGAGCAAAAGCACAAAAGTGGTAAACGTGTGAATTGAAATGGCTTCAATAAAGAGATGGAATTTTCTATATTATTCAGTTTTGTTGTGATAGAAGTTTACCAATACACAGTGTATGATAGAAATGTCTGGATGAAGAAATAAAGAAAAGGAATGGATATATATGTAAAGACAGACGGCTTTTACAAATACGGTTAGAGGTGGCTAGCTAGTGCATTATTGCTGAATAAGAATGTCCAGTAATTATTTTATAAATAGAACAAAAGTTCCAGTATTTATCATACTGGCAAAATCAACGTACAGATACTGTACTGTACTGTAGTGTGCACATAGTGATTTTATTGATATAGTATAGTTTCATGGCTTGCTTAAAAAAAGTGTATTTCTGTCTGGAATGTTCCTTCCATCAAAATGGGAAGTCAGTTAAATGTTCTTTTAAAACACATGATGTTCAGCTTGACACAGACTCGGCAGCCTCCACCTCATTTATCTGTATCTTTTACACAGAATATACATGTGTAGAATGTAGATAAAGACACAATGTAATTATATAATATAATTTATCAGTTTCCCCAGTGGCTGTATGTAGTATAGCAGTGTTAAAAAGACACTAGACAATATTTAAAAGTAGAGCTACTAGATGGTCATCTTTAACAGTGTCCTGGAAGTTCACCCATGCTTCCAGGAAACATAAACTTTTAGGAAGAAATATCATTGTGGTAGCTAAAACGTCAATGCTCCAGTATCTATTAGACTAGTTTCTGCTCAAATTTCCTTTGATTTGAATAAACAGGATATATAATAATGAAACTATTCCGGAATGTATTTACTTTTGTACACGTTACAGAAATGCTCATTTGTTTAGAGCTAAACATTCAATTAATCAAATTATTCAAATTAGCCATCTGAATCCTTATATTATGTGTAAAACACAGAAAGATCTCCACTTAGTTACCTTGATAGTATTTGCCGTTAAGATGGCCAGCATGGCATCTGTTCATCCACCAACCAGAACCATCCTGTGCGGCACAGTTTCCATCAAATTTGTCATTATCTTGGTCACTTGTACTAAACTGCATGCCATTGTGAGATGTGTAAAACTTGTCACTGGCATCATCCCCAAAGTCAAAGCCATCAAAGGCATCACCAGCGTCACCACCCATGAAGTAAGAGTATGTCAAGCGGTATTTATCCTTTTCAGACCCAAGTCTAAATGTGTTATAGTCAGCAGTGCTAGAATGAAAAATAATAAATATTTTCATTAATGTACAGAACTACTAGCAGACCAGTGTTAGCTAGCTTCAGGTGTCTTGCTCAAGGATACTTAGTGGTATGTGTGTGTGTGTGTGGTATGACCTGGGTTTCCTACTTCTAAGGCAGTGATGTTACCACTGCTCTAACCAGCAGTCTACCTTTAAAGGAATTACAATCTCACATTAAAAAAAACTAAAGAAAAAACAAACAAACAGCATATTGTTCTATAAGTCTGCTTGTTAGATAGCCTTGTCTATTGAAAAGAAAAACATGTTTATGTTTAATCTTTTTGATTTTCAATCTTCAACTCTGTGTACAATAATTAGGGTAGCTATGTGAAGGTATGGCTGTCATGTTACCTCTTTTGATTGTTCCAGTCTTCCAACTCTATCCGTAAAACATATGGGATAGTAGATTGTGTGCTTATCAAATGGATCTTTTCATTACCAAGCCAAAACTCTGTAACATCATTTGGTGACAAGTATCCAAATCCTTCCTTGTACGGGGTCCATTTCTTGTCAAAGTTTACGCTACCATCGAGTCTCTAGACAAAAAGATATGTTCTAATAAATATTGAGTCAACATTGTGTCTTAGTGATAAAAAGTTTAAAAACATTTGGTTTAACCATATTATGGTTTTACAGAAATTGCAAGTCAGGTACCCCTGAGTAAAAAAAGTAAATCTACAGTCTGGACCTGGAGTAGGCAACCTTCGGCACTCCAGGTGTTGTGGACTACATCTCCCATAATGCTCTTACAGCCATAATGCTGGCAAAGCATCAGGGGAGATGTAGTTGACATCATCTGGAGTGCTGACTATTGTCTATCCCTGGTCTAAACATTTTAAACATCTAAAACCTAAAAAACACACAAGGTTTCTAGATATCTCCTGAACTCTACTTAAGTTCCAATAAAATATTCTTCACTTATGTATTATTTATATGTCTTATTCCAAGTCTGCCAGTTCTCACTGGTTGTGGAATGCAACATACAAACACAGCTACAGAAACACACAAAAACAGATGTACCCATACATATGGTTGCTAGAGCTACCTTTGTGAGAGACAGAATAAATCGTAGTAGCTGCAAGGCACAAATGCATCGTTGGAGAGTTACTCCTATTAGTTTAATGTAGCCTATGACATGCATGTACCAGCAGGGCACAGAAAAACCATAAAAGTTATGGTGTGGAAAAATTGTGATTGAAAACCCCTTCCACTTGACGTCTGTGGATAGTCAATACAATGTTAAACAAAAATCTGCACACCAGTCAAGCTATAAGACTTGCTTTTCCCACAGAAATCACAAAATGTGACAAAAATTTGATTCTTTGTTGAACTAATTTACATATGCCCACCCAGAATCCTTTGCAGTAGTAACATCACGGCAAATTTTAATTTCTGTGGGAAAGGCAAGTCTTATGGCTTGACTGATGTGCATATTTTTGTTTAACATTGTATTGACTATACATATATATGTATTTGTGTTAGGTGCTCATGATAGTACAGAGTAAAATACCATAATTGAATGTAGGATAGTAAAAAAGGCAAGTCAGTTGTGGTGTGCATACACACACGCACACAATACAAAAAGTCCCTGCACTCTCACTATGCCGGATGCCCAGCCTTGGCTTGTAATGTAGAAAGAAATATATATTCTGCACTCACTGTCTTTAAATTTAGACATTCCAATGTCCTTTTATTTATTCATTCATGCTGCAATGAACATCACCATATTGTGTGGAATAGCAGAAAAATATAGAGGCCAGTTGACATTATAGTCCCACTTGGGGACTTTTCTCAAACAAAAGGAAAGTCCCCAAGTGGGATTGAAATGTCTACCTGCCTTTATAATTTTGCTGGGGGGAAAGGAGACTCACAGCATTCTCTTTCACTGTATTCTCT